ACGAGGGAAAACATTTACCCTCCTAATAATGATTCACTAATAAAGATGGGCTTTGAGCATAGGGCTCCCATCATCCTATCTATATTATAGAAGTTCTTGAGGTAACACTTGTAAAACTCTCACCATTACATCTGGCATGTACTATAGGCTAATAAGTAGCCCTTCTGAGTGATCTAGTGGTGTACAGAAAATGCCATTCACGCTGTGCGCACCAGGGGGCGCTGTGAGGTTTTGTCTGAGGCCCCTAATGAGTCCAAGTTCCCTGGTAATGCTTAAGTGCAAAGGGCATGACTGCTGCTGCTTTTGAGACTCTGTTTGGTAAATCTGAAAACACAAACACACTTGGCCCTTTTTCTGATGTTGAGAAATTGCTCAGAGAAGGCCCTCAGACTGAGGCTCAGACAAGAACCAGGACAAATATTTCAGGGAATGGAGAACAGATTTGCATCCACTGCTCACCAGAGCCACCTAACAAGACACAAGAATAAAGGAAGTAGATTTGCATGAAGAGCCTCTCCTTCCTATGATAAGAGAGGCCTTGGGGCTGCTCCTTAGCTGTGGGCTCAGAGGCAGAGCTCTGGGGTGTCTCCACCATGGCCTGGACCCCGCTCCTGCTCACCCTCACTCTCTGCACAGGTGCTGCCTCCCAGGGCTCACTCCGTATTACCACAGTGGCTGTGTCAGCTGACCTGAGCTTCGGCTCTGCACAGGGAGTGGTGTAGGGTGTGGGGCTCTGGAAGTGAATCCCTTATTTTCACCTCTCCTGTTCTCTTTTGCAGGTTCTGTGGTTTCTTCTGAGCTGACTCAGGACCCTGCAGTGTCTGTGGCCTTGGGACAGACAGCCAGGATTACCTGCCAGGGAGGTGGCTTAGGAACCTATTATGCAAGCTGGTACCAGCAGAAACAGGGCCAGGCCCCTGTGCTGGTCATCTATGGTAACAACTACCGGCCCTCAGGGATCCCAGACCGATTCTCTGGCTCCAGCTCAGGAAACACAGCTTCCTTGACCATCACTGGGGCTCAGGTGGAAGATGAGGCTGACTATTACTGTGGCTCCTGGGACAGCAGTGGTACTCATCCCACAGTGACACAGACAGACGGGGAAGTGAGACAGAAACCCCTTCCCTCTCTGTGTCACCCTCTCTCTCCAGCCCCAGCAGGACTATGAACAAAGCCATAAGCAGGCCTGGCCCAGTTCACCTGGATCTGACACCTTCAGGCTGCCCTTCCCTCCAGCCCTCCAGGCAGGCTCTGCAGAAGGTGGGTCAGGATAGGATTGGAGACTGGAAGGACCACGCTGTTTTGGTGTTCTTTGGACTGAGTGTGTCTTGGCTCAAGATGCCCTGAGTGGAAGGACAGTAAGAGGGAGACAGACAGCCATGGAGTGTCCATGGTCTCTGGAG